CCCCAAAACCCCAAAACCCCAAAACCCCAAAACCCCAAAACCCCAAAACCCCAAAATAATTTCTCTTGATTGAATCCATATTGAAAAGAGGTTAGAAACAAGAAAGTAATAGTCATCCTGGTACTAACAATAACAAAGTCATCTATAATTTTCTTGTTCATCGGAATTTTTAATAAATTACTGGAGATTCTGAGTTGATTCTAAGCTTCTCTCATTGTAATAGCTTTGATACTATAAACATTTCTGAATCAATTGAGAGAATGTAAAATTACAGTTGTTGTGATTCTCTTAAGGCTAGATATCATATTGTAAGCAAAAACTAGTAAAGAAATGCACTTATTTTCATTACATAACTTTGGGAGAAATTTCATAGAATTTCAAAGTATGACCACGGTGGTTTACTTCTAAAGTGCCAACCAGCATTTTTGAGTACCTATCTGTATTTGATCCTTTAGAAAATTCTGAACTAGGTCCAAATATAAACTTTCAACTATCAATTTTTAGAAAATCTCACTTTGAGGTAAAATTGAGGATATTATCAAAAAGGTCAGAAAATGAAAGGCTCTAAAGACATTTTAGATTCAATCCTAGATATTGATGCAAAAGTTCTCGGAATAGACAACGTTCAGGATGATATGGACCTCATTGGCAACAACTATGATCCAAAGAATGAAGAAGCAAGCAGAAGTTCATCTGGATTTAGCCAGATAAAGCCAATTCATTCATCTTATCAAAACTCATCTGATTGTACGCCAGGAGTAGTCAACCCCTATGTCTATCCTGTGAAGCGGAAAAGAGGCAGACCAAGGAAGGAAGAGCAGTATCTTCATCCTTCACTGACCAAGCCAGGGCCTATAGGGGTTAGAACTCCTTACAATTATTACGTCAAGGAACAGAAGTAAGTCTATCTGCTTATATTCAATAGAGATGTCCTTCGAGACCAGTTCAGAGGTGTCTCGCTTAATATCATGTTGAGTCAGATTGGCGTCACATGGAATTCAATGACTGAGCAGGAGAAAAAGCCCTATGTGGCTCTTTCCAGACAGGACAGAATTAGGTACGAGCTCGAGCTTCAGCAATACAATGCTGGAAATTTTCAGAACCAAGTACCTGAGAAACCGCCAAGCACTGCTTTTGAGTTCTTTTGATGCGAGAAAAAGACTTCTTGTAAGAAGAGTTTTCCAAATTTTAGCGAAGATCAGATTATCAAGCATTTGCAGACAGAATGGAATCTGCTGAGTGCTCAGCACAAAGATCATTATCATCAGCTTGAATCTCAGGAACAAGAACGGCTTAAAAGAGCTTTAGCCAGAGGCAGTAAAAGAAAACGAGGTAGGAAGTCAAAAGCAGAGATTCTTGCTGAAGAACAAGCTGAAATGGAGCATAAAATGAGAAATAATGACATCAAGGCTGATATCATTTTGCCTCCAATTTCGTCTATAAATATTCCACAAATAGAGGAGACTAAGTTGTGTGGACCTCTTCAATCAGAGACATCTCCAAATAAACCATTGCTACAAAGGAAATCTCATGAGAACTATGTAGAGCTGAATTCTGAGAAGGAGATGAATTATGAAGACCTTGCTCTCTCTTCACAAAGTAGCCAGGAAATACAAGATATTGATCAATTATACCACGAAATGCTTGAAAAAGATCCAGACAATGTTATTGACTATACAGATATCGATAGCGAAGATCTTGACCTAATCCTAAACGAAGATACTGACTAATTCTTAATAAACCCTAATCTCAAAGCACTCTATAAATAACACAAAGATCCCTTATCTCCACATTTCCCCTAAAATTCCCCAACTTGACTAAAACCACCCTTACCCTCCATCCTAACCCCCTAACAGCCCTTTCCACCCAAAAATTTCCATCCTCCACATCTCCACTAATTTCCCCCGAATAAAAATCCCAATTTCTTCCACACAAATTCTAAAATCCAAACTTCTAGTACAAATTTGAATTTTTTACGTTGAATTTCTAAGAAAATTTTAGTGAAATTTTAAAGTTCAACTATTTTTCAGTTGAAAGGGGTTTTGGGGTTTTGGGGTTTTGGGG